TATATATCACAAAACTCACTCAGATTTTCACTTCCTCAGAAAAAAGGATCTTCACTATCCTTAGCCTGTTCACCCTTTTCGTTCTTTCCAGATGTTACCATGTTCCGCTTGCCGCAGTCGGTCCAAGTTGTTCCAGCATTTGCTGGAAGTTTGATAGTCAGCTTTGGCACTTTCCTCTCCTCTTCGGAGCTGCTATCTGTTTTTTGTCGCTTTTTTTTTCCTTAAACCGGCCATTATCTTCGTAACGTCCTCCCAACTACCCGGTGTCGGTGAAATTATATCACTAGGTGATTCAATCTCCGATTCTTTTTCCGGAAAATTTCATTGAGCTCTTCTCTCCTTCCGTTTATCATTTTGTCCTTCTATAGTTTGATTTACTGGTGTGGACTCATCCATCTGAGTTTCAGGAAATTCCAGCTGCATCTCTGTGTTTTCCGTCTGCCTTTCTATATCATCAGTTACTACTGGAGCGTTCGGTCTTCTTATGTGATTTACTCTATTCAGCGCCCTTTTTGGACACTCTTTTCTTTCATGTCCTGGTTCTTCACGAATCATACATGTGCGTACCTGATTGGAATACGTAACCAATGAGGTACACCCTTCGATCGACACATAAGACGGTACTGGTTTTTTCATGGCTATCCACATTGCTCTTATTCCAGTTTCCACGTTGAAGAGCCCATCGCCAACATATTTCTCATTTCGAATACTTTTGACAATTCCATAATTTGACATCTTCTCCTTGATTTTCTGGTTGTCCATTTCCAATGGGAAATCGTAAATCTTCACTAATGCATCGTCAGTATCCTCTGTTATGAAGACATCAACCTCCTCGTCTTCATCTCCTACGTATTTGGCTATTCCGTCACTGAACTCCTGCAGAATTGCCTGCATCTTCACGTTTGATACCAACTTGAGAAACACTTTATGCCTAACATGATCAAATTGTATTCCTACAATTTAATCCACAGTACACTTCAACACATTCTTTATCCACATATGAAGGTTTGTGTTCGACGATTTTTTTCGAACGTTCTTAAAATTTAACGTTAGCGTATTCACTCTCTTAATCACCATACTGACTCACTGTTATTACTTGCACTTATCACTCGTCGCACGTCTGTACCCTACGGTGTCTAATGCAAGACTGATATTATTAACAAAAGTCACATTTTAGTTTTTGTTGCATTTGTGGTAGGTGCGTATCACTATGTCGAAATCTCGCTACGTCTAAAGCCATCCGTTTCCCTGAGGTCACCTAAATACTAAAGTTGCCAAAATTCAAATTAATTTCATATGGCGGAAATTCGAAGTAATGAGATTTCGACGTAGTGAGAATTCGACGTAAGAAAAATAATTTGCCTAGAAGCAAGGAGTCTCACTACGTCGAAATTTCATTTAACCTATGCATTCACGTCATCAAAACGCGAGTTATACCGAAACATTCCTCTGTAATTTTACATTGTATTTCTAATAAATACTGAGAGAATAAAATGTAGGATTATTTAGAAATTACAAATATACGATTGTTTACGAAACATGTTACAAACTTAACCCGCCATCAGTCGCGTGGTCAAAAGTTAGGCGATAGGTCGCGTGTTAGATTTCATCTCACGTACCATGCACCGGGAAAAATGATTGAAATTTACCTCGGAATTTTCATTTCGAACGAAGAAAATTACTTCAGTTTTATTGAAAATATACTTTCTCTATTGAATAATTCACATCCCCGAGCGTAATTTCAGTAGGCAATGTACTTTTCATTGAGAATTAAATATTCATCTAATATATGTGTGAAATCATAACGTATTATTTCATGTGAAGAGAAGAACTAACTGGACGATGGGTATTCCCCCTTAGTGAAATGTAAATTTTCGCCATCTCTTTATCGAATGTAAAATTACGCTTGTATTTGTGAGTGATTATTGTATTGTTCATTCTTGTCTANAAATTTATATCGCAAATTTACCCTATAAAGTTTTATTTCAACACAAAAGTACACTCAAAATGAAAAATTACACTGAAAAATTCCACACTTGTCTTCGGGGTAGAATTACAAAATAATATTCCGCATGGAATGTGAGATCACACACGAAAGTAATTTCTCGCTAATATGGGCGGTAATTAAATTGCCACCGTTACCGGTGGAAATTTTTTTACCAGTGTGATTGAATACTAATGATAAAAAAAATAACATTCTAAGTGGAAAATAATAGGGAATGTTGCTTCAATACTCTAAAACAGTCTCCAAACTACGGCCCGCGGGCCAAATCCGGCCGGCCAGTGTCATCAATCCGGCCCGCGACAGCCAATGATTTACTGTCATCAATCTGGCCCGCGACAGCCAATGATTACCTAATTGTTGTTACTATTGCTNGCCTAAAAATGGCATCGTGCCCTCTCTTCCGGTAGAACTGATGCAGTATGTCCACACCAGCTAAATATAACATTCCCAAAAAGGCATTTATTTTATCAAAATTGGGAGCAAGGCAATCTCTTTCTCTGCTAAAAAAGGGTCCATCTTGTTAAGTTGTTTATTGGTACGATTTGTTATATACTCAATAATTTTTTTTGGGAAATGAAATTTCCAACAATCTATTTTTGTTCGTGAATTTTTAGCAACTTGCTTCACACCAGGAAGCTGAGTAACTAAATTTTTGCTGAGAGTTTTTCGTGAATGTGGTTGCTTGTGGACCAACCATTTAGTTCCGACTTTTCCTGTGTATACTAAATCGCTTGAATCACTAAAACAGACCTGTAATAATTGTTGATCTGTATTTTTATCGGAATTTGATTGCTCTGAATCGGTGTTGTGTAAACTGTGCTCAGAAGCTGCATTTTCATCGTTGGACTCTAAATCAGGATCATATATGATACTCCTGCTTCTTCTTCTTCCAACATTTCATCCCACACAGCTTGCAGACGCTTTTGATCTTTTTGGTACCACATTATACAATGCATAAATTCACAAAAAAAAAAATTTTTCACAATTCGAAAATGGCTTTTCCCTTTGAAAAATAAATAACATGCACGTATTCTCCGTATATCATGCAAAACCAAGCTTTACTCAGCTCGGCTCTATAATCAGGATCAGCTCAACTGTTCATATTATAATACTCATATTATAATACTTATAATGAAGCCCAAAATACATTTGGCGGGCGACGTCTGAAAACTGTTAGAATTCTTCAAGTAAATAATGCTCACCACGCACATTAAATAGAGACAATAATTTTGAGTTGAAATAAAAAATGAAAATAAAAAATTGTACAATTCAAGTAAAAGGCATCTTAGGTACATGCAAGATTTTACATATTTTGAATACTGAATTCCGGCGCATGGACGTAAAAAATGTTCCCATCATGAAAAAATAGAAAATAAAAATAGAATTACTGCAAATCAAATTGGCTAGTGAGAAAAAATAAAATAATTTAAAAAAATTATGTTGAACGGTTCTATTGAAAAAAAGGTAATGATGTAGATAATGTGCTAAAAACTAAAAAATAATTCGGAAGATCCTAAGTAGCAGTCATCACACACTTTGAGGTAGTTGCGGAACAATATGTAATCCGCCATTTTGTAGCTGCGCCCATCTTGGATTCACAATGATACAGAATTCATTAAATTGTATTGTCATCAAAACTAAATGTGTGTATCAGATCAATCTGTCAACAGAAAGGAGGTCAAACTTCAACTACTGAATATGACTCAAACAAACAAACAGGGCAAGTTAAATAAAACCGTTTAAATCTTGAAAGACTTTTGAAGTACTTTTGCATCGAATCTAACACATTATACACTTGACTTTTACTTTAAGAAAGTTGTCACAGTGTAAATTAATTGAAGGGTTCATACAACATACTCATATAAATGCTAAGATACAGTAAAAGTTTGATGAATGATGCAGCCGTAAAAAGTAAAATAAGAATTGCTTTTGTTAGGTAGTGAAGTTAACACAAGGTCGGAAAGTTGATATATAAATATCTGTTATTTGTACAAATTTTCGTGGTACTTGTCAGTCCAGACCGCAGATAGAAAGTTGGGTTAGGTTCATAAAAGCTTGATTTGAAGGCTCTAAGCCGCCAAAGTCGCGAGCTCAACTTTAAGTGATCTCAGGGCTAATGCATTTAAAATCTACACTTCAAACAGATTTTTTTATTTATCATAACTGTTGATGTCCATGTCCAACACGATCCTATGAGCATACAAATAAACAGTGATCAGATGTGATCTTCATTTTGAAATGTAAGATATGACAATAACAAACACAGTGCATAAAGTTCAAACTTTATAGCGATTGCTGCTCGCTCGAGTAGTGAAATCTATCAAACTCCACTTGCTTCTACAGTGGTTGCCTATGCAAATATGACTTAAGAATATGTGGCCGTAATAGTATTCCGTGACGTGACAGATGTTCTATGGCATGACTACAATGACAGTTTATTCAATATTTTAGGGAGGGGGTGACATGTGTACGAATTCGACGAATCGAATTTTCTCTGAGAAGTTCCACGTAGGACCACATAGCGGTAGCGGGCAACTAGAAAGTTAATGGGAGAAGTCAGATTTTGGTTGATGTTACGTTGATGGAGTGTCGTGTGTGAGAGATCAAGTGAAATCGTTAGGTTATTTATTCTTTAAAAAATAGTTCGTCTCCTGAGATCAATTAAAATGAAATTCTTTTTGTTTGCATTATTAGTTTTACCAGTTGTAATTTTGACTTTCGATAATGGTAAGAAAAAACTCTTAACAAGGTCTTTCAAGATACTCTTTTTTTCAAAATACGTGGCGGTAATCAAGCTGCACATGAATCATATTTCATCATTTAATGAACTTATTCCACCTAGTCTTATTTATTTTCCTATTTAGCTTGAATATTTTTAATCATTTCATTCAACATATGGAAAAAAATTGTTCAATCCTGTTTTCTTAAACAGGTAAAAGGGTATTCTCCTATGCTGAAGAAGATCCTTTAGAAGATGAGATTGATGTTGAAGGAGAAGCCGAGGTAGAAGAAGTTGGAGGTGTAGAAGAGGAGGATGAAGATGATGGTAAAACGCTTTCTTCACCAGATGTAGACACCACATTGTTATTTGTTCGACCCATACCTACTGGAGCATCACAGTTTGGTAAGATAAATTTAGGCCAATATACATCAGTTCTCTATACATATACATTTTTTTTAGAAATTCCTGCTGGCTTACCAGTAGAATTCTTGGTTGGATTCCGTAATAAAGGAGATCAAGATTTCATTGTTGAATCAATGGAAGCATCATTCAGATACCCTATGGACTTCAATTTCTTCATTCAGAACTTCTCTGCTATTGGCTACAACAAAATTGTCCCCCCTGAGCAGGAAGCTACATTGCATTATAGTTTTTTGCCTTCTGAAGCTTTTGCTGGCAGGCCCTTCGGTTTGAATATTAACTTAGCATACCGAGATGCTGCTGGAAATGCTTTTCAAGAAGCAGTATACAATGAGACTGTCCAAATCGTGGAGCTTGAGGAAGGTTGGATTTTTTTTTCTTGTGATAGAAGTTTTTTGCATTTTATTAATTCAATATTTTTTATTCTCAGGTTTAGATGGAGAAACATTCTTCTTATATGTTTTCTTAGCTGCCGGAGTTGTACTACTATTGGTCATTGGACAGCAAACATTGCTCTCTGTTGGGAAGAAACGCACAGGTGGAGGTGGTGGAAGCAGTAGAAAGGCAGCACCTGTGGAAACTGGAACCAATAACCCAAATAACGTTGATTATGACTGGTTGCCAAAACAAACTCTTGCAAATTTGAGTGAGTAAATATAATTAAATGGAATGCATTCAGCTGTCTTTCTGTCTAAACAGTTGACCATTTGTTGACTGAGCAAGGCCACAAATTAATATGAGTTGGTGCTGTGCTGTGAATAGCAATCAATTGCATAGTGAAACCTACTTATATCTCAATGTTTTCAAAAAATATTGTCTCTACATGTTAAATTTTGTGAAGAAAGAAAATGATTTTATTTTCACATGTGGAATATTTTTTGTTGAATTATAAATAAATTGGCAGTAGTAAATAAATGAAAAATAAATATCAGTAAATAAGTACATGATATCAAAAATTGAAAAAATAACCTTCAGGTGTAGTTAGCTCTTCCTTTCCTGAAAGAGGAATTGTGCCTCTCACTTACTAGAGATTGCGCTAAGATCAACGATACATATGAATCAATGAACTTATCAAAGACAGTACTTTTTCAACTTTTTCTACTTCAAAGAGATATATTTTTATATCTATCTCTTATTAAAAAAATTTCATAGAATCCTATTTTGGCCTTCATATGAAAAGTCACATTCAAGTATTTTTTGGCAGGTATAGTTTCTACAGATCATTTCATATTTATTTTAATGGATAATGACAGGTTTTTAGTAGCGAGTGGAAAATATTGAATAAAGAAACTCCCTCACCATGGCTCTCTGTTCAGAATAGACTGGCATATATACAGTGTTTTCTAGTTTTTTAAACAATATTCATTTATTTTGGTGTCAGGAAAGTTATTCCTTTTCGCAAAGTCAATAAGAGAGGAAATGTTAATTTTATAAGTGGGATGGAGACATGATATCAGTGAGGGACTTTTCAGGGCTGAAATTTTTTAAGGGAAAAAGTGTATTTGTAATAAGTTGGTAGTTCTGATCACGAATCTGAAAGAATTATGAACCTATTTTGCCCCCTAGTATGTTTTACCGTAAAATGGGTGTTCCATCGCGAGTGGCAGGCAGTGTATATCACTTTGGCCAACCCCATTCAGGTGTAAGGTGCATTTCCATCAGTCCTGAGAGTTTCATCATTCTACCTCGATTATTACGGAAGATATGGGAGTGTTTCCATGAGAAGTGAGACACTGTACAGTATCTTAGATTTTTATGATTAACATTTTCTCAAGAACCCTTATAACTGGAAATAATGAAATTATTGTACACAGCGCCGTTCAGTTGTTTGAAATTCAGAAAAAAGGTATAGGTAATTTGAGCCAATACTTCTAATGATGAAACAAATGAAAACGCTATAACACAAATGACTATTTCTATTCAAAATGACAGCATAGGAGCTATTTTTCCAAATTTATTGGATGGCTCTATGATTTATTTATTGATTTATTTATATATACGGGTAATCCCCATGAGGTAAAATTAATAATACAAATAGTTTTTCCTTTAAAATAACTTAACCTTAATGTATGTATAAATGTATCACTGTAAATATATAAAATTTAAATGATGTTAACTCAAAATCATCATACTAGCTGGTTATCTATTATATTATGTTGCTACACTGTTTTTTGAAAGCATTCAATGGAATTCCTTTAATGTCACAATTAAAATGGTTGGCTTCTCGCATAAACCTTGATATAGGTGAGAGGTATCCATAGTTAGTATGGTGATTAGGGACAGCAAAAATATCTTTGTTCCTAGTTGAAAGAACAGGTACTCAGAATGAGAATTCATGTAATAGATAATTAAAATTAATGTCACTTGATATAATTTTAAATAAGGTAATGATATTTTTATTTGTTATGATGGAAATATTGTCGAAACAACTTGATGTAGCAAACGAATGAAAAAATACTATTTGTTCCAGTTTCTGTCTAATTTAAGCATGGTAAAAATATCATAAAATTTCGTTTTAATAAGCAGTTAGGCAAATCCTCAAAACTGTTTCACAAGTCCCAAAATAGAACAAAACATGTTTTCCAGGCACATACTTTTCAAGAGATTTAGAGCCGGACCCTCTGGGGTGTAGGGGGCTCCTGTTCAAAACCTAGCAGAGGACCCCAGAAGGAGCCAGTCTGGGTCTAGTTGTAATTGATTCTTGTGGTTATCGAAAGTGATGTGATATAATAAACAGTAGTGGTATATGGGAAAAATGTTTGTATTGGATTCATTGTATGTTAGACATTACAGTTCTACATTCCAATTTATTTTCAGTGTAATGAACAAAATTCAAACACAATCTTGAGCTTATCAGTTTATAGAGGTTAAACCAAAAGTCTTCAGGAGACTAAATCTTACTTTTCAATATGCACTTCCTAGTAAAAAGTAATTCCCGTTATATAATGTGTATGAATACTTTGTCAGTAACCGTGTTTCATTTATTCTCCATATTTTTCATTACAAATAATGCATCTTCTGCTGGTAAAAGTTATTTGCTTTTTCCTAACCACTTTTCTTGCCCATTTTTTTGTTTTGACAGAAATTGATAGATAGAATCAGTGAAATGTTCATTCAAGTGTGTTGCTAATTCAACTGGATTATTCAACATTTACTTTTCAATACTGGATAGAATATGTTCTTATTGATGAATTGCCACATCATTTTAGATTTACTATCCAATTTAACTATTTTTATAGTGTTCTGTTTTGCATCGTCTAAGACGGTATTATAATTGTTTTAACCTTCATACCGAGGGACAATTTAAGAAATAGAGTAGTTAGGAAAACGTTTTTTTCATCTCTTCAAATCTAGCAAATTGAAAAATGATTTTTGGTTACTTTTCTTTGTTTAATTGATTTTAATAAAAATTGAAATGATGATTGAGAAGGCTTCATTTATATTATATTTTATATAGAGTTCCAGGCAGCCTTTGTCAAACATATGACTCAACACTTCTCAAGTCCGGATAATTGGTTTTGACCAAAAAGTTTTATCTTGAAAGGAAAACACCCAAGTGACAGAAAAAGATAAGATTTAGAAAATCATTTCATTATTGTATATATTGAAAGAAGGACTACAGTGTAGTGAAAATAATACATACTTATACACATCTACAGAATAAAAATTACTACTCTAAAAAGAAAGAAAAACCATAATGAATGAAAAATGATGTTGAGATTTTATAGGAAATGTATATTATTATCATTTTATTCAAGCATTGGTATCTATGTATAAATAATTGACTTTATTCATTTCAGATAAAGAAAAGCTTCAGAAGTCCCCTAAGGTGAAACACCAGAGTCCTAAACAACGAAAAGTAAAACGTTCTACAGGTTCAGAATAGTGATATGAATTGACTGATTGTCTCAAAAGATTTCACTTCATAAAATTGATACATTTCATTCATAAATCGTACATCAAATGTGACATAGACATAAATCCATTGATATTTATCAGTCGATAGGGAATAGAGTTGATTTTCTTGATTCACCAAGATAATTTATTGTTGATGATGTAATATATTTATAACTTTTTTAAGTGAGTTGTGAATTTATTTAGTTATTTCCTGCTGTGTAATAGCATAATTGAATTTCAGTTAAATAACGAATTAAAAGTTGACAATTTTTGTAAAATTGTTTTTCATTATTTTCTATGAGAGTATTGACAGAAAAATGAATTGTTATATTCTTAGTAATTTGCAGGAAATAGATGTATTGAAATAGGTTTTAGGAATCACACGTTAAAAGGTAAGACCTCGTTAGTCCTTAGCTCCCACAAGTTTCTCAATTTCTGAGAGTTGTCGTTCGTATGGGGGCGACAGCTGATTAACGGAAAAACATATTTCAAACAGATTTTTTTTCAAACAGGTAACTCTCTCCCTATGATCATTTTGAACCCTTCTAATGTCACGTAACAATAAGTTACAAATATATTTTTGCTTTATGACTGTAATTTTCCATATATAATTTTTGTAGCTTCTCCCCGATGATGAATGTTATCGAAATATAGAATAACTTTCAAATATCCTAAATCAGCTGTTTTCCGGGTTTTGTTCCATATTCTGTGTTTTAGATCCTCACAAGAACTATATTCACAAAGTCTCATTTACCATCTTCTAGACTGATTCACTTGAACTCTGTTCCTCAATTTATAGGGTTGGATGCCACCATTTTCCTGGGTCGATCTGTTATTTCATTGTACTGATAGCAGTTAAGGAATTTTAAGTTCTAAAAAGTAAAATTACCAACCAGATGAAAAAACGAAAATATGTTTACTTTGAATCGGAATAGCAAAAAAATTGTACTAATGTAAGAAAAACAGTGGGGTGTCATAAACATAAAAATTGAAAAGAAAGACCAAATCAAACAAATATGGATGACAGATGGTGATTTATAATCCCTTCAAAGTAGCAAACTTATCAACATAGCATAGGTCAGTCAATTATTTTCGAATTTGATACGAATCTAAGAAAAGATAAATTTTAATGAATTTTAGTGTGAAAACTCATTATATTTACTGGGATGAGAGATAGTCAATAATGAAGTTCTGTTTCTCTTGGATAGGCCAGAATGGGTGCTGTTGTTAGCCTTTCAGGGCTCCAATCGAACTGAGTGTTGTTTTCTGATAAACAATGAAGGGTTTGGCGATTCGTTCGATGTCTCACAATTTTTTGAAGTATGCACATAATCCAAAGAAGCTACAGACGGACCAAAGCGTTAATTCCTTAGTCTAGGCCATTTCTTCACAACCTCCATCTTCAAGGGGTTGATCTCTATTCCATTCTCCGATATTACCTGCCAATAAAATTTAGTTGTTTCTGGAATATCGTACACTTTTTGGGGTTCAACTTTAGCAGGAGTTGGAAATCCTAAGTAAACACCTCTAAAAAAATTTCAAACGTTTTCCCTGTCATCCAAATAGACAAGTCAGGTTTTCCAGACGAGACCTCTTAGAACCAGTCCCATCAATTTGTTAAAATGGTCGAGCACACTGTGAGTGGAAGGACTTTGAACCAGGGGCGGCTGTACCTCAAGTACAGTCGTACGCTGAACTACCAGATTTTAATAAGTGCAAATAAATACAAAAAATGCTTACTTTACCTAGATATTCATCATTATTAGTGTATCAAATCACGGTTGTTTGTGTATAGTGTGTTATATTAGAAAAATCAATGCACAATAATAAAATATTGCATCAGCCACTACGCAGTTACCCAGGAAATACTCCACATATTCAGCACATTTGCAAGGTTTTTCTAGAACATTCGAAGAAACGCACATCTACATCATCAGTTCCTGATCCTATAAATATGGGAGAACAAGAGGACGCCGCATTCTTGACTATCTTCGCGACTATCCATGTTCGTTGAAATCTTGAATCATTATTGAAACAAGCAAGTTTGTTATTGCTGGTAGGTATATTCTGCGGGCTAATCGATTTTGTGTCCGAGTTGAATATAGCGATAAAGGAGCATCTCGCATCGTCTACAGTGTTCAAAGGTGCGTCAAAAAGTATTCAAAACGATATTTTGGACTCCATTTTGTTTGTATCTAACAAAGAATTGTTGGAGATCATGAAAAATGTGATAACGTAGCAGTCCGAACTGATGAATCAACCGATGTATTCACAATTATGCAGATGGTAGATATTTTGAGATATGAAGAAGACTGACTGGTTCATGAACGTTAGTAGAAATATATTACGCCGATGATAGAAATGAGTGTAAGCCAAAACAAAACCGTACAGCAATTGTTTGCCAATCTACAAGCTTTTCCAAAGTTTTTTTCGCGATCGTTTGTTTAAACGTACAGAGGTTTTGAAAACAATTGTGTCAAGGAATATTCCAGCTGCCTCACAAACTATAAGGAACTTCAATTCGCGCACGGTCAACTCTGTAAATATAGCTATAAGGAAGCCTCAAAATACTGCATGACCACCATTGATGAAACTGAAAATGACGCTAGCTTTTTAAATCAGGCCAATATGCTTCTAAAATATCTAAACGACATCACTTTTTTATATTGATTTGATTTTTTTCAGTCGATTCCATCACAGTGAAATTTTATTTAAACAGTTGCAAAAACGGAATATGATGTAGTTTACATAAAAAAATAGTATTAACGAACTTGAGGTCAGTATACAGAATGCACGTGATTCCATAAATCAAAATGAAGAACCACCTCAAAAACGGATTAAATATTCTACTTACCCTACTTTGGGCCAATACAAATTGAAGAATGAAATCTCCACAAAATACAAATTCAGAATCTGTAGCACTACTTCGTATTCGCTGTATGGTACCTAGGACTTCAGTCAAAAGCGAACGATATTTTTCGACACTGAGGAGGATCAATTTTTTTTTCAGACACACCATGCCTCAAGATCGGTTAAATGTACGTTCTGTCCTTACAAATGAAAAGAAACTCATTCAATCAATACTAGACTTCAATATGAAAGTGATCGAACACTTCGCATCGGAAAAAATCGGTGATACGATTTAATATATAAAAAATTAAAGGTTATTAAAGTACCTATAACTATCTTATTATAAAGAACCTCAATTTTGACTTTTTTGCAGTTAGTGACTAAAGCCATAGGTTTGCAGAATCCCAAGGAGTCGTATTGTTAGTTAAACATTGTGCTTCGTTATGTTCGCAACTCTTAATTGATATTCGATTGTCAACGTTCACGAGGGCTCGGGCAATTAACATTAAGTCTTTTCGATGTTTCTTCACTTCCACTATTCCTGTGCTCAAATCTCCAGGTTTCCTTTCTACTCTCTCCATTATAACATTTTTCGAAGGTTTTGAAGGTCTGGATGTCTTCGTTTATCACGATTCTGATTTTTTAACTTTTCTTAGCCCCACATAAATCCAAGAAAATTTCTTTGATGTCGATCCTCAAAATAAATCCGTTCCGTTTAAAGATGTCGAGACCGAGGATGTACCCAATACATTATTTCAGCTACTGAGAGGACATTCAATAGTTGTTGAACCTAACTGCACACGCTCAAGCCCAAGGACTTCTCCAATTACGGGTTCGGTTTGTTCTGTAGCTGTTTCCACGAGCAAGTTCTGCGGAACTCCAAAGATTTCCGTATTATGCTAGGTCGAAAATCGCTCCGAAGGCTCTGTGCCTATGTTGAAAGTATTTTCTTTATTATCCTGATGAGCTTGAACCTGTAGTGTAGAAATATATATCCTGAGGCTTTGTGCACCGCATGCCGACACACGCTCCTGAGTTTCAATTACTATTTGTTTTCCTGACGCTTGTTTGAGAGCCCCCCTCGCCTTTCAAGTGTTGGTGACCTTCGCCATTTTGCTTTCACCTTCAGCTTGTTCGACTTTTTCAGATATTTCTTGACAGGGCCAATAATGCAGAAAGTCAACCAGTTACAAAAAGAAAGTATCAAGTTGAGAAATTTTTTAAAATGTATGTCAACGTCTGGACAACTTATTTAAGAAAAAAAAATATCAAAAAAAGACGACGCTGTCTTGTTTGAATCTATGAAATTTCCAACAATCTATTTTTGTTCGTGAATTTTTAGCAACTTGCTTCACACCAGGAAGCTGAGTAACTAAATTTTTGCTGAGAGTTTTTCCTGAATGTGGTTGCTTGTGGACCAACCATTTAGTTCCGTCTTTTCCTGTGTATACTAAATCGCTTGAATGACTAAAACAGACCTGTAATAATTGTTGATGTGTATTTTCTTCGGAATTTGATTGCTCTGAATCGGTGTTGTGTAAACTGTGCTCAGAAGCTGCATCTTCATCGTTGGACTCTAAATCAGGATCATATGATACTCCTTTCTTCTTCTTCCAAAATTTCATCCCACACAGCTTGCAGACGCTTTTGCTCTTTTTGGTACCACATTATGCAATGCATAAATTCACAAAAAAATTTTTTTTTTCACAATTCGATAAAATGATAACGAACGTAATTAGTCGCGAAGTTAGATTTTGTGTAACACAACATAAAATTTTCCGCTATATAATCAGTTGCGTGTCAGTTATTAGCTAACATTTGAAGACTACCTTATACAAACACGATTTATTCAAAACTGGTCTTGCACTTCAAAACATTATATAAATAGAGTGTTCAGGTACATTTCTAAGAAGGCATACCTGAGCGTATAAAGTCATAAAATTATTACAGTATACAGTATGTTCTATAAAGTAATATAACAACGCGACCGATGGCGGGTTAAAGATTTTTCTTTCATCATTCCTTTCTTCGTTTTTCATTATCTTCACTAACTCAAAAACAAACAAACAATGATATCGAAAATGAGTTTTCCTTTTGAAAAATAAATAACATGCATATATTCTCCGTATATCATGCAAAACCATTTTTGTATTATAAAATTTTCAGGAATATATGTTAAATGAAAATTTAAAGTGGGTTAAACATATACCTACATATTTTGAGAAAGCAAATTTCTCTTAATATCAATATATCTTTTGAATAATGCAATTTTCCGCATTTGAAATATATGAATATATTTTTTTTCTTACTGATATACCCTAAATTTCAATAGAATGATGAATGTAGCCGTTACTATGTGGTAGGAGATCATCATGAAAAATGAGAATTGAACTTCCTATGTTTTTATAGCCGTTTTATTTGTTACTAA